AAATCATTTAAAGAAATTATATGATTTGAGGCCAGGTGCTGAGGGGCAGGAGATCTGTAATTGGAAATTGTTGCCCTTGCCTGGGAGTCAGCAGAGACATGTAGCATCATAACCGTGCTGTGGATTTGTATCTCCCAAAGCCACTGTACCATTCATCGAGGGCTGAGGGAAACTCTGAACACACAGAACATTTCAGAATGTAAAACTCACCCTGCCAAAAGTCCTTATTAAAGAGTTTCCAGTTCCCAGGCCTTGTGCCAGAGCACTAGTGGCTGAGATTGGGCATAAGGGTTAGCAAGTGCTTTGAACTTGAACATAAGAACGGCCATACTGTGTCATACTGATGGCCCATCTAGCCCAGTATCCTGTCTTCTGAGACTGGCCAGTGCCAGATGCTACAGAAGGAATGAACAGAACAGAGTAATTATCGAGTGATCCATCCCATGTCGTCCAGTCCCAGCATCTGGCAGCCAGAGGCCTAAGGACACACAGGCACTGACTTTCTGAAGTGCCGGTGGGGGGTACTCGACCCCCAGCTCTGCCCCAGGCCCCCACTCCACCCCTTCCCCCAAGACTCCATCCTCTTCCCACCCAGATCTGCCCCCTCCCCCGAGCATGCCGCGTCCTCGGTCCTCCCCTCTCCCTCCCAGAGCCTCCTGAATGCTGCGAAACAGCTGACCGCAGCAGGCAGGAGGCACGGGGAAGAAGGGGGAGGTGCTGATCCGCGGAGCCTGCTGGCGGTCGGGAGACACTGAGGGGGTGGGAGGGAGCTGATAGGGGGGCTGCCGGTGGGTGGAGCACCCACAGAGTCGGAGCCTATGTAAGGACACCCAGAGCATGGGGTGGCATCCCTGACCATCCTGGCTAATAGCCTTTGATGAACTTATTCTGCATGGATTTATCTAGTTCTTTTTTTTTTTTTTAACTCCCCCGCCATTTCATCCCCTCCCCAAGGCCACGCCCTCGCTCCGCCTCTTCCCGCCCTCACTCCACTCCCCTCCCCCGAGGTCCCACCCGCTCGGTGCTCTCTGCTCTCCCTCAAGTGCCTCTACCCAGCCGCCAAACAGCTGATCAGTGGCACCGAAGAACAGCTGTGGCTGGTGGGTGCTGAACACCCACTGGTTTTTTTTCCATGGGTGCATGAGCCCCAGAGCACCCATGGAGTTGGCATCTATGCCCAGGGGGCATCAGAGTTCAGAGACACCCCTCTGTGTTACAGTCCCTCCCCTGCTTCCCCCTTGCTTTGCAAGGTAGTGATTAACTGCAGGCCTGGATCAGCTGCAAATTACAACACCCCATGTACTGGCTAGGCTGCTCTGGTCAGGGAATAGAGGGAAAACCCATTCCATGTACGCAGCAACTGCTCACTCCTGCCTGCCCAGACCCCAGCTCTGGGTAACATGCAGAGATGCAAGGAGAGTCGCTCCGCTGCACAGCTCTGTAGTCCAAACCACAATCTGGGCCACTCAGGATCAAAGATATTCCCAGCCTGTGTCAGCAAAATGTCCTCAGCAAAATAGGCGCGTTTGGTACAGCACATGCCCTGGATGTGGAGGGACAGGTCGGTGTAAAGGCCATTTTGTTGACTGTTGACATTTTCAACCTTTCAGATGTTTGTTTGGATTTAGATTTTCCTGGCGTTCTAGGGATTTGTTTTGTTTTGTTTAAACCACAACATCCTTTTAAGACCATTTCCCTCGAAAAGATTGATGTGTACTTTCAACCTTAACTCCAACGTAAGGAAGCTTTTCGTCATGGAATATGGAGAGATCTGGGGAGCGATACAGTATCTTGTGAAAGCAGAGTGATGATAATTCCCCTGCACACCACCAGGGGGAAGCCGTGGTGCAACTGAGATAGTCATTATTAATCGATGATTCGTTATTATGAGCAGTAAAACAGGGAGTACAAAGGGGAGCGTGGGAGCTGGGAGAGTTGGAAGGCCTCCCATCTAAGAGACCAACACAGGAGCTATGCATATGTGCCTTAAAGAAATGCAGGGAGCAGGGTGGGATAGGCCTCTGTGCCAGCAGCAGAGCAGAGATAATAGAAAGGAAGCTGGAGTTTAATAAGAAGCAAGGGCCCTGAGCACAGGAAGAGCACATTTAGATGAGACGCCTGCTGATGCTCTGACAATGGACCGAGGTTGGGGAAAATGCTCGCAAAGAGCCCAGATGAGGCAGGCAGAGCAAGCAGAGGGAGTTGAGCTGCGGTGCAGTGGCCTGTGAGCTCCGTTCCTGCTAGCGATTGGTACTGGAGAAGCAAGGGCATTTTGGAGAGGCCTATGAGAAGCAGGCAGTGCCGATTGCCAGGGCGGGTGAGCCGGGGGCTGAGGCCAAGCAGGGTAGATTGCTGGCTAGCGAGTTGGCGCCACACGTCACTGACAAGAAGCGGAGTAACCAAGTGCTCTGGAGGCTAAATCACAGAGCTTATGAATATGCCACTGCTGCTGGCTGGCTGGTTCAGTCTTTTATCTCAAATGGTATAACTGGCTCTGTGGATGAGGGGAAAGCAGTGGACGTGTTGTTCCTTGACTTTAGCAAAGCTTTTGACACGGTCTCCCACAGTATTCTTGCCAGCAAGTTAAAGAAGTATGGGCTGGATGAATGGACTGTAAGGTGGATAGAAAGCTGGCTAGATTGTCGGGCTCAACGGGTAGTGATCAATGGTTCCATGTCTAGTTGGCAGCCGGTATCAAGTGGAGTACCCCAAGGGTCGGTCCTCGGGCCGGTTTTGTTCAATATCTTCATAAATGATCTGGACGATGGTGTGGATTGCACCCTCAGCAAGTTTGCAGATGACACTAAACTGGGAGGAGAGGTAGATACGCTGGAGGGTAGGGATAGGATCCAGAGGACCCTAGACAAATTAGAGGATTGGGCCAAAAGAAATCTGATGAGGTTCAACAAGGACAAGTGCAGAATTCTGCACTTAGGATGGAAGAATCCCATGCGCTGCTACAGACTAGGGACCGAATGGCTCGGCAGCAGTTCTGCAGAAAAGGACCTAGGGGTGACAGTGGACGAGAAGCTGGATATGAGTCAACAGTGTGCCCTTGTTGCCAAGAAGGCCAATGGCATTTTGGGATGTATAAGTAGGGGCATTGCCAGCAGATCGAGGGACGTGATCGTTCCCCTCTATTCGACATTGGTGAGGCCTCATCTGGAGTACTGTGTCCAGTTTTGGGCCCCACACTACAAGAAGGATGTGGAAAAGAGTCCAGTGGAGGGCAACAAAAATGATTAGGGGACTGGAACACATGACTTATGAGGAGAGGTTGAGGGAACTGGGATTGTTTAGTCTGCGGAAGAGAAGAATGAGGGGGGGATTTGATAGCTGCTTTCAACTACCTGAAAGGGGGTTCCAAAGAGGATGGATCTAGACTGTTCTCAGTGGTAGCAGATGACAGAACGAGGAGTAATGGTCTCAAGTTGCAGTGGGGGAGGATATTTGGAAAAACTTTTTCACTAGGAGGGTGGTGAAACACTGGAATGGGTTACCTAGGGAGGTGGTGGAATCTCCTTCCTTAGAAGGTTTTAAGTTCAGGCTTGACAAAGCCCTGGCTGGGATGATTTAATTGGGGATTGGTCCTGCTTTGAGCAGGGGGTTGGACTAGATGACCTCCTGAGGTCCCTTCCAACCCTGATATTCTATGATTCTACGGTAGAAGCCTGTGCTTTTTGTCCAGACCGTCCTGGGTTCAAACCCACTGGCAGCCTGCAGAGACTCATTTGCTGTGTTGATGTAGCACCTGTCCCCAGCAGGCCCTGCCTGCCCACAGCTCTGTGCCAGTTCTTCCCCAGCCTGAGCAGACATGCCTGTGCTGGGTCCCAAGCTGAGAGGGTCAGTCGGGAGGTGACAGCAGGGGAGACAGGCTATGCAGCTAGTTGGCTGTCAGAAGCTCCTTCTCTGGTGCAAGCAGTGTGATGGGGCCTGTGCATAGCGTTTCCTGGGCTCCCGTGCCAGCTGCAGGCTGGCCTCACATTCCAGGGGGTGTGGTCTACCAGGCTAGCACACATGCTGGGTGGGTGGCCATCTCAGCCAGCTCTTGTGCCTGAGCCATGCATGGCAGCACTTGCCCTCTCTCAGGCAAGGTGGGATTTTGTCCACTGTTCTTTGAGGACACTGAGCTGGACGCTGGCGTGAAATACTAGCCCAGCTCTGCAGAGCTGTCCAGACACACAGAGGGCTCCAGAAGAAACTCACCTCCATTTCTGACCATAGACACCTTCTCTACTCCCAGACCAGAACCTGGCCCCACCAAAGCCCAGGGCGTTTTGCTGATTATCAGGAAGCAGGTTGATAATTGTCAGAGCCTTGCCTTGGAGAGCTTGACCCAGCACGCTTCATTCTCACCGACTGCACCTCTCTCCCTCTCCTTGGCTGGGTCAGCAGCTGATTGAACCTGGTCTAAAAGCATGAGCTTCTAGTGGTTGAGCTACAGGACCAGCTCCGCCATTTGGAAACAGCAGCTGCCGCCTAAGAAACCTCTTTATGGGGAACAGCCCCAGAGGTGCACCCAGCCCATGCTGTGTTTTGCGTTACACTCACATCACGGCTGCAGATTGGCCCTGACTATTTAAGCAATATTGTAACATTCCTCAGAGGCAGATGGAAATCAGCCTCATCCACCCAGTGACTGAGCTACCCATCCCACTGCTGTGATCTCCCCTCCCCAGGAGCCTCCAGCCCCCCTTCCTCACTGCAGATTTACACTGCCCCGACTAGAGATGCCTCTTGGGTCTGTAGAGTCCCGAGCTGCCTGATGGGGAGAAATCAGGCCAGTCTCCTCCTCTGGTCCCATCTTGGGGAAGGAGGGGGAGCGAGGGGGTGGGGCGAAGGGCAGCTATAGGAGGAGGAGCTCAAAGACTGAACATAAATCATAGATAGGCGGGTGAAGTGACAGGTAGATAGACAGATCTCTGGGTTTCTCCCTGGCAATAGTGCTCACCCCATGCTGAGTTCTCCAGGATGACTCTCCATTCTCTGTCCCCACTCAGCTCTCCCCAGGCTCTGAGGATGACGAGGGACACGACAGCTCCAGCAGGGAGAACCTAGGCCGAATCCAATTCAGCGTCGGCTACAACTTCCAGGAATCCACCCTGACTGTCAAGATCATGAAGGCTCAGGAGCTGCCGGCCAAGGACTTCAGCGGCACCAGTGACCCTTTTGTCAAGATCTACCTGCTGCCTGATAAAAAGAACAAGCTGGAGACCAAAGTGAAGAGGAAGAACTTGAACCCGCACTGGAATGAGACCTTCCTCTTTGAAGGTAGGCGGCAGGAGCCAGCAGACAGGGCGTGAGCCAGGAGCGAGTCCCAGCTCAGCCATTGACCCCCGGCTAACCCTGGGAAGTCACTGCCTCTCCCCTGTGCCTCTGGGCCCTGTCTTTAGCATGGGGTTAGCACTTCGTGCCTCCCAGCGCTCAGATACTGTGGTGACGAGGGCCATATGAACACCTAGAGAGACAGAAAGTGAGTCCAAGTCCCTGTAGGAAGCAGGATTTGCCAGACTGGAGCCCAAAGTGAGCCATCTAGAGCAGCAGTGTGCCTGCTCCTGCCAGGCTGATCTCTCCACACGACTGTTCTCTCCACCATGCTGGATCGCACCGTGGTCAGTCAGCACCAGTACACCCTTTCCTACCTCCCCACATTGAGCCACTGGCCTGTCTGGCCAAACGTCCTGCCTCCTGGTCCTTCCAGCATCGGATTCTGTGACCTACCCCCACAGCCACCCCAATGGACAATCAGCTCTGTGATCCCCTCTCCTGCCTCCCCGTACTGAACCACTGGTCACACTAGTCGTACGTCGCACCTTGTGTGCCACATCTCTGGCCTATCTGGCCACTATCTCTGCTTCTGCTAAACCATATCAGACTGTCCTGCCTCCGGCCCGATCAGACCACACCCTTGGGATCTGACCTCCTGCCGGATCAGATCACACCATTGATCTGGGTCCAACCTCTGGTGAACAGTCAATACCTGATCACTCACAGAAACACCTCCACAGTCAGTTGCGATGCACCCAGCCAATTGTGGAAGATGTTTGTGAAGGGTGGGATTCCAGTGGCCAGCTGGTGTCATGAAGCATGAGGGTTGATTACTCGTAACCACAGATATTAGTAGAGGCCATAAAATTACTGAAAAGTGTGTCTCCCTCCAACCAGTGCCCCTTCTCCACTGACTGTTCGATCCCAGCAACATACACCAGCCAGAACTGGCTAGAGAGATGCATGCCAGGGATGGTCTCTTTTGCATGAATGCCACCTGGGTTTAAGTAGGTGTATGGATCTGGAATGGCTCTGCCAGACTTGGCCGTGTTGCCCCGTTCCTGGGTAGCCACCTCCCGCTCTGGTCTCCTTGGCAGGTTTCCCATATGAGAAGGTGGTGCAGCGGGTGCTGTATCTCCAGGTTCTGGACTATGACCGCTTCAGTCGCAATGACCCCATCGGAGAGGTGTCCATTCCACTCAACAAGTTGGACCTGACCCAGATGCAGACATTCTGGAAGGAGCTGAAACCCTGCAGCGATGGGAGCGTAAGGCCTTTGCTTTGTGTTCAGAGAGAGGCTTAGCCAGTGTGTAATGCCCTGGCTTAGTGTACGTGGCTATTAGCTGGCCTCAGTGACTATAACAGCCTAGTGCTCCCAGAGGACATCCTGGAGCTGCCACAGCAAGGGTCCCAGAGAGGACATCCCCGAACCCCCACCACTGTGAGATACCCAGAGGGATCTACCACTATCCCAGCAACACTCCTGGAGGCTGGGATGAGAGCCATGTCTCCGGCCTGTGCTATGCTGGAGGTCAGACACAATGAGCAGAGTGGTCCGAAGGCCTAGGGGTCTTACCCCCTGTCAGCTGAGAAGGGGTTTAAGGCCTTGTGCATCCTGTAGGAGACACTCTACTAGCAGAAAACAGTTCTCGGCCATGGTTTAGAGCCAACTGCAAACACGTGGGCTGGCACCAGCTGCGGGATACTTTCACTGATCCATGTGGATGTGAATTTATTTCCAATAACGGTGCTAGCTCAAGCCATGCTACAGATTCCTTCCCAGCCCTAGACAGCCAGCTTCTTCGTATGTGGTGGAGAAGCAAAGCATGTTACAGCCATAAATATGTTTGAAGGTGGTTTCTGTGGGGACAGGGCCGCCGAGGTGCTCTGGTTGAGCTAGGCTAGCTGGTGTCCCAGGGAGTTCTGCCAGTCTATAACAACCTCTCCTCTCTGCAGGGAAGTCGGGGAGAACTCCTCCTGTCCCTTTGCTACAACCCTTCCGGTAACTCCATCATTGTGAATATCATCAAAGCACGGAATCTGAAAGCCATGGACATCGGGGGGACTTCAGGTACTGGCAATCAGGGCCCTTCTTCTGTACTGAGCCAGGGGTACTGGCAGGGGCCATTCTCCACAGCGTAGTAAGGTGCAGGGTAACTGCAATCTATTCTTCCTCACCTTGGGGCCCTCTGCCTCTCCTCAGGGAGGAACTTGTCCAGAGTCCCTCTGTCCCACACCAGGGAGAGAGTCCTCCTTTGTCTTCCAGAGGGAACGGTCAGCTCTGAGTCCCTTCTGTCCCACAGTGGGAGGAACTCAAGAGTCCCCCTGGCCTGTTTCAGCTCCCTAATACATCCTGCAGTGAAAAGGGGAGCTGCCCCACAGATCCCTCTCTCCTGCACTGAACAGGAGGCTGCAGGCCACCAGCTGAAAGAGAGGGCCCTGGTGTGAGAGGCAGAAAACCTGAGGATAGGCCAAGTTAAGGAGCAGAAGCGGGAAGAGCCCTGCCCTGGCCTAACAGCACTGTGCCCTGCCCTGGCCTAAGAGCACTGTGTCTGACCTCTCCTCTCCATGGCAGACCCCTACGTCAAGGTGTGGCTGATGTACAAGGACAAGAGGGTGGAGAAGAAGAAGACGGTGGTAATGAAGCGGTGCCTGAACCCAGTCTTCAATGAGTCCTTCATCTTCGACATCCCCACCGAGAAGCTGCGAGAGACGACCATCATCATCACCGTCATGGACAAGGACAGGCTGAGCCGCAACGATGTCATTGGCAAGGTGTGTCCCCCCCCCAGACAGCCCCAGGGCCACAGCTCTCCTGGGCTTGCGTGATGGGGGAGCAGGTCAAAGGGGTGGCAGGAAAGTGGGATCTGTTAGCACAGAGGGGAAGGGGCTATGGGAGGCCAAGGCGGGACCTTCACTAGCATCCCAGCGCAGCGCTCAGAGGGGCACACCACGGATATTTTGTATTCCCACCTCTGGGACAGGGAGAGGGCTTGAACACTTCCATTTAAAATGCCTGTTCCAGCACACAGCATTGCCATAGACCACAGCCTCACAGCATTGCCATAGGCCACAGCCTCACAGCATTGCCATAGGCCGTATGCACAGGTGCCACACATGCATGTAGGCCGTGGACATGCACTAAGGGCTTAGGCCACCAGCACATACCACTGGCAGAGGCCATAAGGGCAGCTGATCCACACATGTCACAGATATAGGTAATGGGCATTGTCAGCATTGGGAGGCTGTGTCAGGTGGGGTCCGGCTGGGGTCTGTTCTGGCTCCAGCACTGGCCAGTGTTTTCGCTAAGGACTCACAGAGTGGAGGAGAGACACAGCCAAAGCAAAGAGGGCTCACAGGAGCCTGGGGCACACTGTTAACCCCTGCTGGGCCACGCGGGGATGGTAATGCTTCACAGAGAGGGGCTTTGTCCCCCTGACTGCTCCCAAGTTAGTTCTTGCCAAGTGCATTCAATCACCCATCAGTACAAAGCTGCTAGGTCACTGAAGGGGCTGGAACTGTCCAGGGAGGTGTAAGAAGAGATTCATGCATGGTAGGGGCAGGGGAGGCTGGAATGGCTTGGCTGTTGTGATATTGACAAGGAGCTATAGAGCATAGCAGGCCGGACACACACCAGCGGTGGGACTCAGTCCCAAAGGAGGTGATATTCCAGGCACTCCATTGTGTACGTACAAAAATGCATGTGCAGTTGCATGCCTAGTCTGTACACGCAGTTATCCAGGACTGTGTGCGCAAACGGCTGGTTGTATGTTAACCCTTCTTCCCCCTCACGTACACATACAGCTGCCTGACTCTGACCCCACAAGGGCGTAGTAGTAGCCTGCTCAAATTAGGCTTGCAGTGGCAATTGTGCCCCTCAGGGCTTTGACCCAGCTGGATTGTGTTAGCAGGAAGAGCCAGGACAAACAAGAAACAGCGTTATTTCCTCCCTATCTTTAATGTCACACGATCCCGATCCACCCAATCCTAGGCCGGCACTGACTCCTCTCACAATGGAGCCACTCAGCTGCTGTTCCTCCCTGGGTCTTTCCCAGCCTTGTTGCTCTGTAGATAACTGGTCCCTTCCCACATTTGTCTCTGTTCCACTTCTTCCTCTGCCAAGGCAGATGGCCTCACATGGCATTACTGAACCTCAGGCACCCGCAGCGCTGCTCTCCCCAGCTCCCTTTGCTGCTGGCTTCCCCTTCTCCTGCATTTGCTATGGCTGATTTGGGCATCAGAGGCAAAGCTCGTGAATTTCCCCTTCCCCTAGCCTGTCAAGGAGAATATTAAGTGATGGGAATCCTAGCACTGACTCCTGAGGTTCCCTCCCTTGATATTGCTCCCTGCTCAGAGGTCTCCCCCTTAACAGTTACTCTCTGCTCCCTGTTCATCAGCCAGCTGCTAATACAAGCAACAATCGTTTGATCTCCTGGGCCTTTTTCCAATGCCTGTGTCTTTTAGGTGGCTCTGCAAGGCATTTCTGGGGTTTGGCGATCCATTTTGCACCTTCCACAGGGATCACGGTGTCACACAACACCACAGCCAACAGAGCCAATTGGGGAATCCCAAAAGCTCTCTGCAGAGTTCACTGCAAACACCCCAAATATCGTGCCCCAGCAACATGGCGGCTCAGAGCCCCTCTGTCCTGCACTAGCTTGAGGCAAAGAAAAGGGAATTCTGCAGACCATTGGAACTGGTGCCACCAAAGCAACGTAGCCCCAGGCAAGGAGAGAGGGCAACTGTCCATTCGTAAGAAGGGACGTTAATGCCAACCATGTCTTGGGAGTATAACGGGGAAGTCAGGAAGTGGCTTAAACAGAAATAAGAGACTCGTGAACTCATCTCTCAGCACACAGAGGAGTCCCTCACACAGAGGGCATAATGTGGAAATGATGGTGCTGTAGGGGAGGAAAACTCATCAACAATACCCTGTCTAGAGTGTCAAGCTCATGGTGCTCAAGCCAGAAAGTGCCCCATGCCTCCATTGCCACCTAGAGAATTCTGGACTGTGAAGATCCTGGAATCAGGTGAAGCCTACAGGGATCGGGAATTGATTTACTGTGAGAAACTATGCATAAGTCAGGGAATCGCTATAGCATGGCCAGGACCATCTTCAGGGCACATGAGGATAGGGAGCCAAATGTCGGAAACAGGAGCAACATCTCAGCTTTGTCCATAAAAAAATGTTGATGTATCCAGTTAGGGAAACGGAGCCACATCCATCGCTAGGATAATCAGGCGCAGCTCCACTGGGATCAATGGATCACACCCATGGGGAATTTGGCGTCTTCCCGCGTGAGCAAAATGGCATGAAAAGGGAAGCCAGGTCCATCACCTAGATCACTGGGATGGAAATCTAGCCATTGTCCACATAAGAGGTGAAGCACAAAAGCCTATAGCTTTGTGACAGCACTGAGTGGATGTAGGTACAAGAAAGCCACAAGACAGCAGAATAGAATTCCGTGGTTCTCATGGCCACTGGGAGATCCAGAGAAGTTCCAGACTCCTTTCTAGCAATGTGTGTGATACTGATTTGGACGGTGGAGAGTGAGCCCCATGGGTTGGGTTCAAATAGATACCTAACATTTTTTAAGCTTGTGCAGATGTCTCTCAGCCTCTTCTCCAGAAATTCCCAGCGTGCAGACACGACTGGTACCAGTCCAGTGCATTCCCAGTGTTGCTCCGCTAATCATCTAGGTGAGGCAGTAGCATCCAACTATCCACAGTATCCACATCTGCCCATAGATCTAATAACCCCATCAAGGACAGCTCTGTGTTTGCAAAGTGGTGAGTAAATCATCCCTGACGCTAGCAAGGGGATTCTTGGTGCTGTGTCCCCGACTGAATCTGGGCAGCTATTTCATTGCTGAACAGGACTGTCTAGATATTCCTCCAGCCCTGTACCACTACTGAGTCCAGAATCTTGTCCACAAGTGTCTTGTTAGACACCAGTCTGTCCTTCCCAGTGCAGTTAGGATTTCACTGGCAGAAGAGCCACCACTTCTTTTACACCGACTTGAGAACAGCTGCCTCGAACGAGAACAGCTGAGCTGCATCGGGACAGCGTGTCTCACCACTCCCAGATGCTCCAGAAGGAACACTGCTGGGCAAGGAATCAGCCTTCAGCTAGCAGCACGGAGCCCAGCTATTGCACTGTGCAGCTCTAACTGTAAAGATGGCCCGAAAGCCCGTGGGAAAGCCGAGGCAATTGAGAGGCCAACCCCTAGTAATAAGTGATCACATCGGGGAGCTCAGGTCAAGTGGTCTGTCTAAAGTCTTCTTCTCCCTGAGCCAGAAGAGGCTGCTCACCTTCCCCCTCCACCCCAGTTAACTATTTAAATGTTCATGTGAGGTTAGTGCTGGTGAAAGATGCTAGATTGACAGCCCTGGAGTGGGACATCTTCTGTTAATCCCCAGCATGCACAGTATGAGCAAGGCCCATCGGTGTCATCATCATCAAGGCAAATCCCAAAGGAATGTCGCTTCCTTGCAGATTGGGCACCACCCAGACTGATCTCTAGCTAGGTCCTTAAGGCGGTCAGGCTGGATAGTCAGTCTGTGTCCACCATCGGCAGTCCTATTGCACCACTGAAGCACTTGGTACCCATGACCTTGCCAGTTGTGTAGCAGCATTCCTTGATACACACACTTCATAATTCATTGATCTTCCCTCCTGATGATATGTCTGCACTTAGAAAGCCACCGAACCCAAACCTGTGCTGATGGGAGGCAGTTTCTGGGTTCAGCTATGAATATCCTCGTTGCTGACCTTGTCCTGCCACTTGATATGGAACAGCTGACAAAAACAGTGCTGTTCCTCATCTCTGACCTGGAAAGATCACCTTTATGGAAGGGTGGGAGTTCATGGTCCTTGCCCCATTCAAGCCTCAAGCTCTCTTTTGAGACTGCTGTCAAGAGGATATTGATTGGTTTCATGACGTAGATACATATCCACTGGGAAGTGGGCCAAGACCACTGAATTCATCCCACCCAAGCCACCAAACAGATGTCAGATGGGAACCTGCCTACCTAAATTCAAACCAGTGGCCTGGAGGCGAAAGGCCCCATAGCCCGGTAACCATTCACTGAGCCCCCCCCCCCCCCCCTCCCCAGCCCTCCAGGTAACTCTATTAACTAAACAAAGGTTCATCCATCAATAAAAAAACAAGCTGAAACAACTTTGCTTGCAGTAGCCACACCTCAGTGTCTCGGTCTCCTCGCCTTTCCCACAGCCTCCTATTGCTCCATCACCCTATGCCGATGAGAGCCCATCCCAAAAGCCATGTGACTTTCCAGCATGTCTTCCTGGCCCCGGAACGGCCATGGAATAGGAACACTAGTCATTCATTGCATACGCACGGGGGGAGCCTCCCAAAGAACTACTCCATACTACAGCCAATCCTAGAAGAAACCCCAAGTCCCAAAAGGCACTGGAATTCTGGGAAAGTTCGGATCTGGCACTAAACTCTGCAACCAGCCCAGCCACAGTCTCGGCTCCGACTTGACATGATCCAAGAGTTGCTAATCCAGCCAACAACTGGGATACCAAGGAAATGAGCCATCCACTGTGTCTAATGGATCTCTCTGCCTAAGCTTTTCTGCTACACTTGTCTCTGCAGTGTACAGCAGAACCTGCTTTAGGGTGAACTTGAATCTAATGAAACTCTGTTTATAGGGAAATAAAATGAAAGGCTCAGTGCTCTGCAGTTCCAGGTAGAGTGTAATCTCCACCTACAACAAAGTTGTCCTGTGGAGGAAAAATATCTCATGCT